GAGAGAACAGTGGTCAAAACCCGAAAATATCGGCCGGTAAGAACCACCCACCGCGACGCACGTCCTTTGAACTGCAAGGCACAAACGGAATACCTTGTTAGGATTACTTGCTGCGTTCAATCGTGTACCTCAAAGTTTGGGGGGCAGGGGATGTAGAAGTAAGGCACAAATCCGTGCACGTGAGTGAAGACGCTGTTTCCCTCCTCGGTAACGCCGTACAAGCGAATGACGGGGACGACCTCCTCGGGAGACGACTGTTTTGGTGCCTTGCCAGTTGCCGGGTCGATCTTGACGGGGTCCCCTGAGGTCATATCGATGTCTACCCACTGAACGAATGCCAAAGGAGAGTCGAGGTACAACGAACGGCGTTTGAGGGTGTCGGTGCATCTGGGCAAGGCGTAGACAACTTTTTTCATTCAAAACCCCACCGTACATGATGCCATAATCATGCATGAAGAAAGGCGGGTAGGAGCTGACACACAAACGCTCTCCCGGTGTGGAGCCTCTTTCGGAAGGGGAAACAAGTATTGAACGTTCGCATCGCATGCCAACAACAGAGGTACGCGAAACCAAGAAGGCTTGAAAGATCGACACAGGCCTACAAGTATAAAAGGAAAAGCTGAACGAACTTCACCTGGAACGTGATAGCCTTCTCCTTGGCCTCGAACGCCCCAAGTTGAGGACGAGCCCATTTAGCCGCATGTGTTTCACCACCTCCCGCCTCAGGCGGGGGCTCATCCGTCATGACCTCGTCCATCCTCATCTCGTCCTCTTCCTGGAGAACCATTCGACCATTCGACGTAAATACAGTAGAGCGGGAAAAATATGACGCACCCAAGCGAAGTCAGCGCTAGGCAAGCGGCAGCTGACGGCATTCAGCCACAGACGGAATAAATGCGGATTGAGAGCACAAGAAGAATCCAAAACATCTGAGGCATCAGGCCGGTCGCCCCGGTGGGATAGATGGTATTCTACAGAATTGCTTCGCGGTTAGACTGGGGGTTCACATTCGCAAGGATGCAGCTTTACCGCCTCGCTGCTTACATGCGACGCGACCTGCGACGTGAAATCATGATTAACTTGAGAGGAGAATGACTGAACCCTCTGGCACTAAAACAGGAAGGTACAGTATTATAGTAGCGAGGAGGGTTTCTTCCGTGTGACCCAGATCCGAGCTCTACCGTAGGGTGGCTAGAAACTGCGAGCGATCGTCATCAAAATGATACGGATACAAACAAGATAGTTGTTCGGACGGCGTGCTGTCAAGATACGTGCTGTTCTTCAGATCAAGGTTTTTCGTGAAAGCATACAGTCTACCTACAGCAGTGCAACCACACTCTTTTCAATTTAATTATGTCCCGTTTCCGCTGCTAACAACAATTCAGCTGTACGGTCTTGCCTTCTCAGCCGAAGAGCTACGATCCAGGTTCACACAAACGGCTTTTGCTCTGAGGTGCATGCCTTCACAACGGCAGTTTTATCCGCTAAATCCCCCGATAAGTGTATCATGCATTGGGGCGTTTCGGAAAGATGTTTCGTTTTGCCCAGACGAAATACCCAGACAAAATACCCAGACAAAATTGCCCAGATAAAAATTGGCGTAAAAAAGATCTCAAGAGAGGCTCAGATTTTTTGTCGGCATGACGTGGCAACGGCCCGCCACTGATTGGCCGAAAGACTCGCGCGCGACGTTCCCCAGGCCTCTTCTTCTCCCCAAGCAAGAAAATAGGGTTGTATGGTTGGGTGCTGCCATCTATCATTCGAGGTGCCAGGAGCATCTACCGGGGGCGCTGTTACCGCAGACAAGCACCCTGTCAAGGCGTCTTGCAAGCAAACTCTCAGCAGCTCAGGCGGCGTCCTGCTGCTATAAACCCAAAGAGAGAGGCGGCGGTCAGCAGCAGCAGCTAGCTAAAAAGCTGCAGCAGCAGCAAGCAGCAGCAGCAACAACAGCCTCAACCTAGCAATCACCCCTCACACAACAATGCAGCTGCATTCCAAACCGCAACAGCTGTGTAGAGGAGATGGCACCGATAGAAAGTAACACAAGGCAACCTTTGGGCCAGCTCCCACCAGTTCGAGTGGCCTACAGCTCATGGTATGGGTGTTCTCCTAAACTGGTTGTAGGCAAAAAAAGTTGCTCTTCTTTTTTGAAGATGCTGGTGAACGTTGTCTCATGCCACCCTCATCCCCTCGGTTCCTTCCACAGCGATCACCATGCCTACACAACACATAGACGCACACCGCCCACATCGGAGGAGGAAGGAGCAGGTCCGTCTGTCCAGTGGTGGTGATATGAGGCTTGGACGAGTCTGTACCCTGCGATGCCATCAGTTGTGGTTTTCGCTACTCTGATGCTGCTCAAATATCAAATATCTGAGCCGTTTGAACAGGAACCCACGCCTCAGATAAAATGAGGTCGGTGAGAGGTTTTTGTCTGAGCCGTGGGTGAGAAGTGGGGCAGCCTCAGACAAATGAAACCGTTACCGGCTACAGATTCCAAAAAATCCGACCCTTTTTTTGTCTGAGCATTTTGTCTGACCCAAAAAAAAATCCCGAAAGGGTCTTTTGTACCGTATCAGGTAGAAGATAGCGCCCACACACAGACCCTCTAGTTTTGGCATGGGCTGGGGTTTTTAGGTCCTCTTGTGGGCTACAAATGACCGGTATACAGCAGATGTCAGTGTGCAGGGCTTCTCAACCGGGCTCACAAACGGTGCTTACGTTCTTGTGTCGGAGCCATGTCAAGTGTACGTAGTCGAAGTTGTTGTTGTTTCTCACATTAGCTCTATAGTCCACAAAAAATGGGGAGCCCGTGGTCTCAAAACCCGGCACATACGACGCCGCGGGGAAACAACACAAAAATAGGGTACAAACCACTCGGAAAAAGAAAACAAAATGATAGAACGAAAATAACAGGTACCGCGCAGACCGTTCGAGAAAAGAGCCCTCGGAAACCGATATAAATAAAACAAAAACAAAGATAAAGGAGGACGCTTCCCACACCCGCCCAAAGAAAAAATCAAAGGGTAACGTACCAGCACCAGGCACTACGCACCAGGGCATGGGAGTAACGGAGCAAACAGGACAAAGAGGCGGCAGATGGGCAGACAGCCAGATGTACAAAAACAAAAGCAACAGCAAAAGCAAGATCAAGGTACCCAACACAGCAGAGTAGGCAAGGAGGACATGAAAAAAAAGAAACACAGCACAAAGGCCGACGGCAATACGCAACAGCAAAAGCAAGATCAAGGTACCCAACACAGCAGAGTAGGCAGGGAGGTCATGAAAAAAAGAAACACAGCACATAGGCCGAAGGCAATAAAAAGGACATACACAAAGGAGTATGGCATACAGCAGGGAGGGAAACAGGGCGCAACAACATCAGCCGGGTACATAGTTCGCCACAAGCGCTGCCTCGGCCGCC